GGCCCTCAATTACGGTTTGGGGCCACTCGACCGCGAGGGACAAAATCTACCGATGGAGCTATTTAGAGACAAAATCCATTTCGTGGTGAACAAACTCCTGTGGGAGCAGGAGTATTCAGAAAGATAATCCAGAATACCAGGTGAAGCCTTGCGCTAAACAAGGCGATGGAACGTGGGCTTCACAGCCAGTTCATGCATCGGGATATAAACGCATTATCGGGTAATCACCGAAACGATACGTACGAGCTGCGCTGCCGATAGGCAGCCACCATCAACAAGCAGGAAGTAACATACGGTGAACTATTAGAAAAAGACAATCTTGGTGGGAGTAAGGGCCTTGCCAACTGCCCCAACTATGGCGAATGCCAGGAGTGTAACGCATGTTTACCAATCTATAGATCGTGTACACAGTGTTACAACAGGTATGTTAATTATCATTTGGGGGACATCTAAGCCACATGCCTCTTTAAATATGCTAACAAAGAGCACGCAAAAGACTTGCCCAATTGAAAATTTTGCTAGGATTGCGAAGGACCTTCGGAGCTTAGCGCCATAGTCATTGTTCCACTAGAATTAAGAACTACGGATGATGAAAATGTATGAATTTTTTTCACAGCAATTGAATATAAATAGCACCATATATTAATGATGATGATACTAGTAATNATTGAAAATTTTGCTAGGATTGCGAAGGACCTTCGGAGCTTAGCGCCATAGTCATTGTTCCACTAGAATTAAGAACTACGGATGATGAAAATGTATGAATTTTTTTCACAGCAATTGAATATAAATAGCACCATATATTAATGATGATGATACTAGTAATAAAAAAAAAAGAAGAAAAAAACTCATACACAAAAAAAAACCAGAAAAATTGACACACAAAATAAACAAACAAAAAATTACAAAAACAAAAGAAAAACAATCAAATTAAGAACATGAATTTTCAAACATTAAAAACTGATAGAAGCTCACTATGACATCACCGACATTTAAAAAAATTTTAAAACCATCTTTCCCCATGTGTGGAGGTGTATTGCCGCAACAAATTTTAAACTCAATAATATTATACTGAATTTACTTTATTGTATCATATTGGCACAGCGTAAGTATCTCCGGTGAAGCCCCTTGACAGTTAAGCTGACACTCTGCACTAATCGTGCATAGGGNACAAAAAATTACAAAAACAAAAGAAAAACAATCAAATTAAGAACATGAATTTTCAAACATTAAAAACTGAGCACAAGAAACACAAAAAAAATATTAATTAAAACGAAAATTAAACAAACAAAAAAATTTACGGAGACACAATGAAAAAAAAAAAAAAAAAAAAAACGACAACAACAACAAAAAAAACGAAAAACGAACACATAGAAAAATAGAGATACAAAGAACACAACTAACAAAAAACACCAACAAAATAATTAAACAAAGGTATGACGGAACGCTATTGTAATCCTCTCACAACAAATCCACGTATGCATATTATAAGTTGTGGCCACTAGTATAATAATATATGTAGCCCATTCCCCCACCACTCAAACCTTCTCTCCTTTGTAATAATATGTCCGCCAGTTTCAAATCTCACCATCTGCACACCAACCCCTAACTCATTTGTTTTTTTATCCACCTAGCAGCACATCAATGGATCCATTGACTATAATACTAATACTGAGCGCTGGATATTTGACGGGAAGATACGCCAAAACCATCGCTGAAAAGATACGAAAAATCGGGACGACTTTCCCAACTAGAGGAAGTGACTCATTACCACTTTTTGCATACCAACCTAGACGCAACCAGCCTCACATGCATACAGGTAGGATACCGACCATTGCACAAAAGCTAGAAGCGGAAAAAATGTTATTTAAAGCAGCTCTCTACATCTATGGTGTAAGACAAATACGTGCATTGGACAGCACTTGCAAACGGTACTTGGATAGCTTTATCGAAGATATGGTAATAAATTTATTACTGGATAGTTAAAAATTAATTTCCGAAGTCACCATTAAACACCAAACAATTCGAGCATCCAAGGTAACCCTTAGAAACTTAAGCAACAGCCTTCAGCATCGTAAAGTAAGAAATATCATAGAACACCCCAAATGAGATCAAGCTAAAACCTGTGAACGAGAGCAAGCCGCGATTAGCACAGCTAGTATAACATACGGGTCTTTTAGAGCGGTTTCCATTAGGAGGTAAGGGTTACGAGCAGCATGTTACTTTCCAGCGATGCAAAATTTGTCTCCTAGACATTAAACCCTGAAAATATTTCTGTGCATGCACCATGTATCACTTTCAAGGTAATGGAGACTACACCATTGCAAGATGCCAGCTCAAGGGCCCCAACCCAGTACACCACTGAAATATACATAGTGATGTTTGCCGTTAATGAGTCCACTTTCAACTAATTTGACTTCAACATCGTGGTTCAGCGATAATCACCTTGTTTTCTCCTGCTATCCCATCTAAACATGTCATCATTACTGCCTCTTTACACTATTAACCTAATACCATCGTAATTTACTGTAAGAATATTCTTAAGAAATCGTACTGATAATAAAAATTAAGCGCATTTACGACAAATGACTAAAAATATTGCGAAGATGTCAATTTTAAATGCAATTGTAGAAAGTAATTACAAAAAAAAAAATAGTTATAAGATTAATGAAAAATAAACAATAAATAAACCAATATTCATCACAGCATAAAAAATAATAATATCCCAAAATACCGTATCCTGTATTATTAGAAAATGAAACATTTGTTAGCTATTAACTCACATTATAATACTAACATGTTAAGACAATATTTCATCCAAATGTAACCCTAGCTATATTCAAATTATTTAAAACACATCTATGAAACACGAGCCGATCTTACCAGGCACGAACTTTCCCGACAAGTAAAAACTGAGGGGGGATTGTCACGTCTAGTGACGTCTACCCACAGTTGGTAACAAATACCATACGGTGTTTGTTGCCTAGTGGCCACACGCACAAACCGATATCAATGCACGCTCAATTGATCGCGTGCTCACCAGCCATTTTCGCTCCTTCACTCAACCCCCGTCAAATTTAACATCTAGCCTACGCCTGCAGCTGCAACTTTTTTCCAAGAATATGTTAATTAAATCTTCCTCCTGTCCTTGATTCATCCCCGGTCCTACCCCTGATCATCGATCAGATTTAGGGTTCAAGTAGAACTACGTCCTGCGGTTCGCTCTCTTTTCTTGGAGAAACTGCCGATCAACAAACAAGTAGCGGGTATTTACTAAAGCAAGTTACATTGTTAAACGTCCGCCTAATTGTTGGAACTATCGTTATAATATTTGTAAACCAATATAGCAAGTTTCACTAATTATTCTATTGAGTTTTTCATTTCTCATAATACATTACCGGCTTAACATACAATCTACTCCACTGGCTAACCCAGAAGAGCTGTCAGCTTCTAATCGTCCTTTCCAAAAAAAAATCTTGCTTTCTTGGTTTTTTATAACTTTCTTACATAAAATTTTGACTTTTTGCTCAACAGTTAAGTTGATATTGTACATAAAGCTTAACGATGAATGTATTAATGACATAGTTTGTTGACAAAAGTTAAGGTGAGCCATAAAAAAGATATTTTCTAAAAAAGGGAGTTGTTTACTACGTAATACAGTCTTTGAGTTTTAAAGATACTTTTATTACAAAGATTAGGTAGCTTGCCATCAAACTTAATTTTTATATAAATCGTTTGATTTCACATCTGTCCGTATACAAAAAAATCAAAAATTTTTTTTCTTAAGTTTAATGTGACATCTTGTTAACAGAATGTTAAGTTTTTTTATAGTCCATTCTTCTTTTTCTTACAACATTGAATCAAACCTCTTATTTACAAAAAAATTCTAAGAACCTAAGGTAAAAACTTGTTAAACAAACAAGATGACCTCAAGGTTGGCAGTAATCAGTGTAGCCTTGTTTTTATAAGAGCAATCGATAGCAATATACTTTAAATGTAGTACAAACAGTATTGTGAGAAAATCTAGAAACGTAACTTGATTATTTTCGGATTGAAATTTGATAGATTTGTCCGATTGCAGGTATTTTTAAAAATTTCTTAGTCATTACCAGTATCTTCAGACTTAAAGAAATTTTAAAAGTTTTGTAACTCAGTATTTCTGTAATCTTACCTACCTTTTTATACTTTCTTAGGTGAATTTTATATATTGCTTTGACTACTGTACTGACATAAAAAGGAGCATCATTTTTGCATTGGCAGATTACCTAAGATACTTAATAACTGTCAAAACTATCTTTATATTAGTAACTACTTTTATAGAATCAATTACATTCAAAGCTATGAAAATGTTTAATATATTATAATAATAAATAGGTTATTTCACTAAAAAAGCGATATTCCATGAAACCTATAATTCAAATTGAATTGGAACTTTTTTCAAACAAAATTAATCCATTTACCTAAACGCAATTTTAAGATCGAGTTGAAAAATTTTTTCGCGTTGTAGTAAGGTTGTAAAAACAGGCTGAAATGTCATTATGTACAATCCAAAAGTATAAGATATTGAGCACCTTATCTCATAGTTTAAAACAAAAAAAATTTTGTATTCAAGTAAGGGACATCTTATTTGTAAAGCCTACTATTGATAATTTTGAATTATGCACCATAAGCTATTTAATTGGGCCAAGTAATTAATTATCAGACACTTGGAATAAGCCACTTTGTATTCTGGAGTGTACAAAAACACTGTCGTTTTCTTGCAGCCTTAAATTTTCATTTGGCTATTTATAGCATCGTCGCTAAGTCAGAGCGTTCTTCCCGATAAAATAAGCGGTCATAACCGTAACACTCTTAGTCTTCAAGACATTCAAAATCAAAGATTAGATGGTTATAGTGTAAGAAAGGGTATAGAGTGCAGAATTCAAAAACAAAGTTTTGTTGAAAAATTTTGTCTTAGGGCTTCACGATTGCAAAAAAAGTACCGTTACGGTAATTATGCATTATACTATAAAAATGCATTGATATTAACATGAGTTTATAATAAATGATCATAGAATTGGGCCCAAAAATTTCAAACTAGTTTGGACAGTATGTAACTTGGAAGAAAGACCTTTCAAAATTTTAATTAGGGCGTGAAACTGTAGCATTTTTTAAAAAATAACCCGATTGCCATTAAAAAAAGAGTTTTTTTATTGCAAAAAACATTTTTACGTTGAATTGACATACTTACCGATAATAGCATTATTACCGCCTAATTCAAGAATAGTTTTTCCAAACCGTTGTTGCACTTCTTGAGCAACTTGTAATCCAGACGTGGTACTACCAGTAAAAGAGATAAGTGGTAAACTGTAAACAAACGGTTTATTTGTTATAAAGACCAGCAGTAAATAAATTATCTTGTGTAAGTAAAACTGCTTAATTTATAAAATAAGTATATTTCATCTTTTACAGGTAAAGTGTGTTCGAAAAACATAATTGATTATTTTCACCGTGTGAATGACTATGTTATGATTCTTATTGAAAATTGTTTTTCAGGACTAGATACTAAAAACCAGCATATAACTACCAAACTCCTTTTTTCTTCCAGAAAATCTTTTTTTTGATTCCGATGTAATAATAGGTTTTTATCGCTAATTTTATAGACAATGTAATGAGCTATTTTATTATATTTTTATTGTGAACTAATAAAACTAGTTATGCATATATAAGCAGATCCATCACACAACTATTCAACAATACTTCAAAATTTTATCCTAAGGTAGCAGCAGATATGAGAACAGCGAGAAAAAAGACGATGAATAAACAGCCAAACATTACATAAAATGATCGTTACTGCATAGCATTTCACACAATAAATCGATATAAGCTGTCTACTTATAAGGTCTATATTGCGTACCATTACCGTATTGCCAAAGAACGAAATATTAAAATATTGAATTCAAAACTAGTAAAGAGCTATTTTAGTTTAAGTACAACTTTTTTAAAAATACAATTCTGTGATAATCTTATTTTAAAATCATGACACTGGTTTTCAGAAGTTAGCGCAATTCCAGTATATTTTCCATGTTTTGTTCTTATAATCCATCTGTCAAGACAAATATTCATAGTTCTAGAAGGTTTAAGATGGCATCAAATGGCAGCTGAATTGATATATTATGTTGGATCAATATGGCTGAGTGATAAGCTTTTTTTTCTTTGATAGTATAAGACGTCCAATGAAAGTTAGTTAATAATTAAAATAACGTCCAATGGGGGTACTGTCAAATTTTGTATTTATTAAAATACAAAACGATGTGTCGGCCGTTCGTACAATGTCCCAGCCCTCGTCAGGTACAAAAATCTATGAGTAATAAGAAAATTCTTTACAATACAAATTTTGGTAAATACAATAAACGCAAATTAAGTAAAGTATATAACATATCTCTGACTCTTACGAAGGGGATGTCAAATCGTAATGTAGTCAGAATTTCAAGTTTCGTTGCTTTTATACCCTGCACATACACAGATGAGACAGTATAAGCACATAATACAATCAAATAAGAATCGCAAGCAGTTTCTTGTGAGAAACATGTAAATAGATCATGTTTTCCTAAGACCATAATTGAAAGGGGCTCTCAAATCATGTACATAAAGTAAGTCTCCTTTCTCAATTGACTTAACAAGAGACTTGTAACAATTTTTCAATTTTTCTGTATCTTGTTGTCTATTAATATTATTATTCAAATAATGTATATTTAACATTTCGGAAAACAGGTGCTTCTTATAATTTTTTTCTGTGTCTAAAATTTTTATTTTATTAAAATTCAAGTTGTGTAAGAATTTAATTCTGTGTTGTGATAGTGCAGGTGTTTCTTTTTTTTTTCTCTATGTCTCTTTTATGCCATTTTTAATTTTGCAACTCTCGATGTTGCAATAAATATTTTTGCAAGTAAACATTTTGAAGCTACCTTCAGGAGGAAAATTACAAAAAATATAATTTTTTAAATATACTAGGTTATCATTTCATAGAAGCTTTTATTCTAATGCTCAGGGAGAGAGTTCATCGTAAGATGTCAATGTATATTGATGACTAATTAAATAGTTAATTTACCTCAATTTTACATTAAATAACAGAAGGTTGAGCCAGATTCAGAATCAATGCTTATTGCTTAGTAGCAGCTCGATAAACTTTCGCTGTTCTAGCCAAATAAATATTTTTTTATTGTGCTAAGTTATAAAACTAAGACTAGATAAGTGAAGAATCATATGTTATTCAGCTAAAGTTAATAAGTGTTAAGAATTTATTAAGTTAGCCTTACTAGTGACCAACGAAAAATAATTTTAAACTTAAAAGGTATCTTTACCTTTAAGCACTTATGATGAAATTTCTTTGTAATTAAAATTATTAAAACCTATTTAGTACCAGCCGTATATACATAAGGTTGAAAATACTTTTAAATACGCAAGAAAACTTGTAAGCACTTTAAGTTTAAGAAAAAACATGTTTTGATTTTAACTAAAATCGATTCTTTTTTTGATAATTGTGAAAAGAAATAGCTTATAAACTTTTCACGAACTTTTTTCTCACACAGTGTTAAATTAACGATGAAAGTCTAAAAGAAATGCTTTTTAAAAACTAAACAAATTTAGCTTCTGTCATTGTGATGTTTGCTATGTTGACAAAACATCGAAAAATTTTCCTGACTATGGAATGATGATTTATCAGTACAGTTATTTTAATATTATTTTAGCATTACTGTGATGACTTGGTGGGTTGATAGGAAAGCACTTGAAAGGGATGATTCCAAAGAGGAAGTGGTTTAAAGACACATGATTCAGTGTAAAAAGTTTAAAAATACTAAGGGAAGAAAAGTACGTAGCTAAAAATGATGGGAAGAAACACAAAGAGTACATGTGATTGATGATAAGTGATAAGTGTGTGATAATATGCAAGTCCTATTTAGAATTCAAAACAAAGTATGTTGATAATTAAAGTTAATGCAAAAATAATTTAACTCTTGTTGTTCTAACTACAAGGTATACCTCCCCTAACCTTGCATTAGAGCTATTTTTCGTTTCACAGTTAAATTTAGTTCGTTCGTATGAATACAATGGTCCAACAAATTTTAAAAGCATAAGATTATCTGTTAGAAGATTGTCTCCGTAGATCCATGAAAGTATATTATCAGTTACTTGTTTAGTAAAAATATCTTATTTGTAAAATGTAGCTAATTACGTAAACTTTTTGATACCAACTCCACCAAAGTTTCAATGTGTATAAAATTATTATCTAGAGTAATTTGAACTATCCGTCTCCTAAATTTGTCAACTAGTTAAAAGCTGTCATAAGTTTAGTTGACGACATGAATTGAGGCAAGCTTACATTTTTTCCTTGAAATTGATAGAACTAAGGAGAAATATTTCTTAAGAACAACGTTATGATGTTGACATTTGGCTTCGTATACTTTATTGTGATACAGGCAATTAAATAAAAATTCCTTAAGCGATCTTAGTTTCATCATGAGCAAAGTATAAAATCTCTTTTGTCATTAGAAAGGTATTTTTTAAGATCTTTTCTTATATTATATTATGGAAAATTTTTAATCCTAATGTTAGATCATAGAAACAAATTAAAACTGAGAAGTTTTTTTTAATATTTATCTTCTAGTCGTTGCCGTACATTACCTACTTAAAATAAATACAACGGATTTCTAAAAGATATTATCAAAACATCTCACTCATACTCACTGCAGAATAATAAGTATATACGTGTTAGAAAAATCTCAGTGTAGTGTGTAATCCAATGGAAGAATTACATAAAACTGGATTTGTAAGGAAATAGTCTGTAGAAATTTTTCAATCTTGTTTGTATAAAACATTAATATGACATTAACTAATTCAGTTTCTAATGGATCAACCAGTGCTTATTTTAATAATATTATTAAAGAGGGGGTCAAGTATGCGTAACAGCGTATATGTAGATATTTTCATTCGACAAAAGTAATTACCAGCGATATTGCGTATTTTTGCCAGTCTTACCCCTCTGAAAATCTCATTCACGCTGCTTACTGTTATAAACGTCCTTAAGTAAAAAAATTACGTTGATCCCAAGTAACAGATTTTGACGGAGTAAAACAAAACAAAAACTAATTAATGTATTGATAGTACCTTGTATGAATAAACCACTTATAAAAAAAAATGTCAAAAAATTGTAAGCTCATTAAAATTTTTTTGAAAATAACAGAAAAAATAAGAAAATTGTACGGACAATAATTTATTCATTTATATAAAAAGTAACTAGTTGTTATAAATTAAGTAATTATTTCATCACATATAGAAAAGTCACTACTTATAAATATTTATTTCTGGATTTTGTGAATATTTTATTTTTCTATATAAAAAGAGTTAGCGTGCAGTACATTGCTAGTTTAATTCTTGGAAAAAGGGTTTGTTCTCATTTTCCTACGAAAATTAGGTGCAAACTATAAAAATAAGGCAAAAATATTTTATTTCTATGCATGTTTCATGTATTATAGTAAGTTTTGTCAGATAAACTAATATAATTACGTCTGTTATAAATTTTCTTAACGTTATTAGCTGAGAATATTGTATTTTAATATTTAAAAATTTTAATTTTACATGTAACTTCATAATATTAAATTAAAAAATCCTTTTTTCAAGTATATATGTCCCTATATGACAAAGTTGTAAGAACGGAGCTTTTCACACAACCCCCGTACCCCCTGCAGCTCCACTACCCCCCATAACCCCCGAGAAATTAAAGGAAAATTTAATTACTGTCAATGATATTTTAACCCAACAAAATGATAGCCAAAGACTCCCTAAGCCTCTTGGCTCCCCCGCAGCCCATCGCATAATTGTTAAAGCCCCCACAACCCCCCAAGGCCCCCCATAACCCTCTCACAAAATAAGGAAAAATTCTGCTAACTTCGTAGTTATTCTGACCCATTCAAAGTCTCCCTTATTATTTGTAAGCCCCCCCCACACCTACCTGCAGCTCCCCGTACATTTTTGAATTGTATTACATTAGCATCAGTTGACTAAATATTAGATAATTGAATTATAGATCTACTGTTACTTGTCATAAAGTTGAAAGGGTCTTTGTCAGTAATACTGCGTGACAGAATAATTTTTAATAAGCATGACAAAATTAGTTCAAACCTATTTGTGTAAGAAAAACCATGGCTTGTCCAAATTTGTGAACTAAGTAAGCATTTTTTAGTATAAGCTTTTAAAAAATCTAGATGCTATTTATAGATAATTTATAAACAGCATGTACACAACGTTAGTAAATTTGTTGTAACTATTTTATGACGGTACCCTACATTAAGAACATAGTAATGAAA